AGTAATAATGATGATCAAGGGCCAGGGGGGGATAGGTCTAACACATACAACTCTGTGAGTAATAATGATGATCAAGGGCCAGGGGGGATAGGCCTAACACATACAACTCTGTGAGTAATAATGATGATCAAGGGNAACACATACAACTCTGTGAGTAATAATGATGATCAAGGGCCAGGGGGGATAGGCCTAACACATACAACTCTGTGAGTAATAATGATGATCAAGGGCCAGGGGGGATAGGCCTAACACATACAACTCTGTAAGTTATAATGTCCACACTTATGTAATCCAGATTAGAGATCCACTAAAGAAAGCTGGCAAAGTGTTAGATAATGCTAACCGCCTTGGATGCAGGAAGTTTGTTAGAGACAGGGTAAGTATGGATCAAAACTTTCACCAATGAGTATAAGTACAGGGTTTATAACTGGGATTTTACACTAAATGTATATTGTTTTTATTTGAAGGACATTGTTGAAGGCAACCAGAAACTAAACATGGCATTTGTGGCCAATCTTTTCAACACCTATCCTTGTCTACCTCCAATGGATGTTGAAGAAAGTAAAACACAAGTTGAAGATGAGAACCTCTACAGAGAAGAAACTCGCGAAGAACAAAGTAAGTAGTGACTACATACCTTTGTAATGAAGCTAAAACATGGGTTCCCTTTGTCAGCCATACCACAGCATGCCAAAGACTTTAATAAATCACTAATGAATACATAGTAAGCAAGATATTAATCCATATGCATTATGTCATCAGCATATCGTAACTGGATGAACAGTCTTGGAGTTGATCCATTTGTAACTTGGTTGTACACAGATCTCTACGATGGTCAAGTTTTATTTCAGGTAATAGTTATTGACTTCAGATCCTTACTTTTTGCCTTGATATCACTACGTACTAGAATCTTCTTTAGATTTCGTTTCATAACTAATTTAGAATATTATAACTTCAGCTGTATGATTCCATTAAAACTGGCATGGTTGACTGGGATCGTGTATGTACAAGAGAAGATTGCAAGAAATTAGGTGGAAATATGAAAAAGATTCAAAACTGTAACTATTGTCTGGAACTTGGAAAGAGTTTGAACTTCACGCTTGTTGGAATTGGTGGTCAAGACATTAATGCTGGAAATGAAGTCTTGACTCTTGGTAGGTTATAATGTGAATACCATATGCCTAATTCAAAAATCCTTGTCAGGTTTTAAAAGGTTGAATTATTGAAGCTGATATTCTGGTCACTTGAAGAATATTTGCATACATACACATGCATGAAGAGTGATGATGCTTTTTATTCAATAGCTGTAAAACTTCTCCAAGATAATATGGAACTTAACATGTCACAACAAACATGCCATTCACAAGTTCGCAATCTTAAAATTTTCACAATCACACATCACGTTTCACTCAAATCCTATTTACCACCCCAGTGATTGAATGGAGATGTTTTATTTTAGGGGGGGGGAACAGTAAAACAGAGTCCCCAGTCCCTTGACCTCTTCATATATATTGGTGTTGATGATATAACTGTTTCACACAGGACTTGTGTGGCAAATGATGAGAGCTTACACTTACTCCATCCTGACAAAGCTTGCTCCTGAAGGCAGCCCACGACTCAAAGATAACGACATCATAGAGTGGGTTCAGGAACAGGTACAATCATCTTGCTTTTCCATTTATTATGTTTAAAGATAACTTTCCTTTCATTTGTTTGTAATTACTATAATTATCATTCGTTTATTAGCTTGCAAAGGGCAAGAAATCAAGCACAATCAAAAGCTTCAAGGACCCAAGTATTTGCACCAGCCTTGCTGTGATTGACCTTATTGATTGTATTAGCAGCAAAGTTGTCAATTATAATCTCGTGACTCCAGGAGAAACCGATGAGGTATGCAATGACAAACCCAGAATTACAGAATAACAATACCGTGCAGAATGCAATGCATGGCTTGACATCAAAAAGACATAGGTGATCTATTAATATTGGTGGGTTTTTTTTTTTCAGGAAAAGTTATTAAATGCCAGGTATGCCTTAAGTCTGGCAAGAAAGATTGGTGCACAGATCTATGCCCTTCCTGAAGATCTCGTGGAAGTGAAACCTAAGATGGTTCTGACAGTATTTGCTTGCCTTATGGCCTGTGCATACAAAAACACAAAACAAAAGGAATCAAAAAAGAAACAAGTCAAAAAGTAAAACATTTTGTCTAATAGGGTTGACTAGAGCATGGTTTATAAGTAGGTATTTCTTACATTAATAATTGAATTTGGATCCTGTCATACTTTACGAGGTCAATCCTGATTTGATAAGCATTTTTCTGTGTTGTGTGATATAAAGCAAAATTTTTGCAATTAGTATGAATATGCCATACCCAAGCTTTTGTTTCAGTTTATGCATTTACAAATTGTTTATACTAAGAAAATAAGTAACTAAAATAAGATGAAAGTCGTTCGTGAACAGATATGGATATATTCACATTTCAAGACACTGTATTAGTCATTGTAACTGTATAACCCTAGAATAATGCCATACGATCTGGTCAATCAATCACTTATTGGGTGTAGTAATTAGGTTTATATATGACAAGCAATACTTTATGAACTGTTAGATACAAGCAGATATTTTCAAGGTTTTCTGTAATTAACAAGAATGTTATTGATAAACACAAATATAATTTGATAAATAGGAATCAAAGTAAATAAAGCTTTAGGAATAAACATTTGTCTTTAATTCCACTGCATTTCACATGATTTCAGGCGGCGCACATTGAAGTAATATATACAGTATGAGTGGCCGTGTGGTATCCAATATACAAACTCGAGGTGTACCCGAGAGTTTGTATATCGAATACAACACAGACACGAATATTTCACTTCACAAAGTCAGCGACGGTTTTGTTCACACGGGGTGCCCCAAGGCTCCATCCTGGGACCCGGTTTATTCAATATATACATCAATGACTTGCCAAACGTTCCCGATCATTGTTCACTTGATTCCTATGTAGATGATTAAAAACTTTCTATCTCATTTCCAATAAGACACTGGAAGTGCCCTTCAACCAATCACGCAAGACTTGGAGAAGGTAACCTCATGGTGCAGTCATAATAGTCTACTCGTCAACCCAGACAAAACCAAGGTACTGTTAATCTCCACACATCATATGCTACGGCAAAGCTCAAACGAAGACGTAAGCATAACTTTACTGGGTAAAATCCTGAGACCTGCTGCTGCTGCCAAGGATCTAGGCGTCCACATAGACCCGCGCTCGAGTCTTGACGAGCATATTACAGTTACCACTTCGTCCTGCCTGTCCAGCTTGTGCCAAATCAACAGAATTAAACATCTACTTGACAAACAAACTCTGATCACACTAATCAATGCTACAAGGTGTCCAAATTTTACACCAAGAATTGTGACTAGTAAAAAATAAATTCGATCATGTTACACCAGTCTTGAAAGAACTGACATGCCTTCCCGTTAAATGTGTAAATCAACAAGCACCAACTTACCTCACAAGTAAATTTAAGAAAAAATTAGTCTAATATACATAAAAGAAACGCCAGAAATAAGGACATGTTGGACATTCCATACTAAAAAACAGCAACAGGACGACAGGGAAAATTCCATTATCGCGCGGAAACTCTCTGGAATTCATTACCAAAAGAATTGACTGATATAAAACACTTTTCAAAGACCCGTGAAATACACTTTAGCGTATTACACTTTAATACACTTTATTGTTCGCATTTTCTTTTGATTTTCTTTTGTGTTTTCGTTGTATTACAATTTATTATACCTTAGTTATTACACTTTGTTTCGCGGGTTTTTGAAAACCACTCTAAACAGCATTTATTAACAAATTAGTACTATTTTTATATATTGTATCATATAGCATATTTTATTGTATATTTTGTATTACTGATGTATACTGCAACCTACTTTGAAAAGCCATTTTATTGGAAAGTATTAAAATTATTATTATTATTATTATTATTATTATTATTAATTCATGAGGTCGGTGACCAATGGCGACTTTGCTTTGTAGTCGAGTGCGCGCAGCTTGATACTTGATCAAAAACTGATCAAAACACTGTTCACTTTTTTAGTCTCGGGAGATTCGAGAACAAATGGAATGGTTATCAGAGCATGCGCATTTTATGATGGTGATAGACTTCTAGTGGTGCGCAGTGCTTGATGGGAATGGTTATCAGAGCATGCGCATTGTGTTTAATCAGTGGTGAGAAAGAAAAAAAGAGCCGTAAATCCATTGATCACTCACTTCCAAAACGTCGGTAAGTTTTTTCATCTTTTCACGGTGTACAATTTACCCTTTTATCATTACTGTTTCATTAGAAACACCGACGCAGCTCACACTAGTTTTTAGCTAGTTATCTCGTCTGTCTGGAGAACAGGGTAATGGTTGATACATAGTACTGAAAATCCAAATTAACAAATAACTAGTTTTTTGTCACGTAATGGATGTGGATTGCTGGGGTACCTACTGACGTTAGTACGACAGGTGAAGCATATACTAGTCTAAATGCAAAGTTTTTTAAATTATCAATGTTTTCTAATAAAGGTGCTAATAAAAAAGAATTTAATTTAAAATGTTGCATCAACGCAAGAAGTAAAGCTGTTAATTTGGCCAACCAGCCAGCAGGCCATCAATACCAAAAAACATGCCGCTTTGTCATTCGTTAATTCGGACACTATATTGAGTATGACTTATTTCATTCCCTATATACAGATATCATTTCTATGTTCACCGCATACCTTTAATGGCCGTTGTGACCTTATAGTATGCTCTCTGACCTGTTTTGGTAAACGTTCCCATGGTTATCATCTAAGTACAACAAGCATGAGCAAGTACATCAATAACAATCATAGAATCAAGTTCAAGCCATTTTTAACAAGTCATTTATTATGTCATTCACCACTGACTGGCCTGACACAGATTGAGTCATATTTGTCGATACAACTACACAACAAGGTAACGGTAACAAGGTAAAGAATACGTCTATTAGTTGAATCTACTGAATACTAACCATATTAAGAACAATGATAGCTACATTTTGAGTACAAAAACTACAAAAATTACTTTTATTTCTTTCTGGAAGTAAAAAGACATTGTTTAAATATCAATGGAAAATTCACAAAATCCCTATATACATCAGCAGGAAAATCTATCCTCGGTTTTCACCCACGTGACTTGGTGCATGACAACGGTTGCTAACCGCCATATTGGTGCACAACATAGTGTAAACAAAAGAGATTCATCACAATCGAGCGACTAAAAGTCAATATTTTCAGCACATTTTCTATAATGGTTCTTTGTTTAATGGTAAATTGTCATACCA